AATCTTAAATGAAAAAATCAACCTTATTCTACAAGTGTTTTATTTACACTCAGTTGCATTTTTAAAAAATCAACAAATGTATCATTGGTAAAAGCATTATCTAATGTCATATAAAATATTTTATTTTTAATTCCATATTCCACAAGCAATGTATTTATCTTTTCACTCAATGCAACACCATTGTGTGAAGGTGGAATAAAGGAAAATTTCAAAGTTCTTTTTTGCAAAAACTATTTTTAATCAATAAAGTGAGTAATAAGACACATACCCATTGACTTGAAATACCTTAGGATTTAAAGCCACTATCTTTTTGAAATGGGATAAACCAACTTAAATACAAACTTAAGCTTTAGTCTATACAATGTAAAAGACCAAAATGAATTAAAATTGACTTGAAAAGATATTATTCAAAGATTAAAAAAAAACTTATTCATTTTAGAAGATTAAGGTGAAAAAGAAAATTAAGCAAAATTGTTTTTTTTTTAAAAAAAACAAAGACTAACCTGGAGACTATGTATACAAAAGAGAATGGACAAATAGCAAACAATTGATACTCAATTATTAAAAGTGCAACCCATATCTATTACTATTAAAGATTTAGCATTTGCTTTAGATTTTCATAGATGAAGAAATAGAAGAGAGACTGAGACAAAGAGTGAAAAAGATAAGAATAAAAATGATTAGAAGCAGTTGTGACAATAGCAAATTATCAAGGGAAATTAGATTTTTTAGAATGAAATGAAAAGACAAAAGTGTCTTACATATTAAGATTTTACCATTTTAGTCAAAATGATATAGTTTTTGTTTAATACATGGGTTAATTAGATGCCATTTACACATGTCATAAGAGTATCACTTATACGTGTTGACACGATAACATAATTAAAATAAGATTAATTAATTAGTCATGTCTTAACACGTAACATGTGTAAAATTAAAAACATGACATGTATAACATCATATCTTAAACGTGTCGACACGATTAAGATATGAAACATGATTATACAAAACACGTACACGGTTTATTACATATCATTTTTATTGTATCATCATGTCGTATCTAAAATTGTTAGGTTTATTTTGTTACTAACAACAGATGGTGATGCATGATGTAAAGAAAAGATTAAATACATATTTCGTCTCTGTAGTATATAACTTTTGTCAATTTGGTACCTAAAGAATTAACATTCGCAATTAGGTACTCAAATTTTCATTTTTTCAAAAATTTTGGTACTTTTGCTTGATACCGTTAATTATTTTGCTAACATAACATGGATACCTAATAAATTATGCTAGGTGGCAAAAGATCCTTGTCATTGTCGTTATGTTAGCATAACAAGAAAATATATTTAAAAAAATTAAAAAAATAATAAAAATAAATTTTCAAAAAATCAAAATAAAAGGTTAAAATTTTTAAAAATATATAAAATTTTAAAATTTTAAAAATACCCAAATATCGTAATTAAAAATTTTAAAATTTAAATTTTTTAATTTAAAATCTATTTTTAAAATTCAAAAATTAACAAAAACAAAAAAACAATGGAAAGAATCAAGGATATAAAAGGAAAAAAAAGGAGAAGAAAGAGGGAAAGAGGGTAAAATAAGGAAAAAGGAAATTGACATCGAAAATTATCGACCTAGTGATGATGATGGTCAAATTATTCAAACCAATGTCAAATTGCCTAGTCTAAAGCAAATCAGCCCAGTTCGCCCTAAGTTAACCAGTTTTCAAAATTCATCTATCACTTCACCCCACCTTCACCCTAAATTTCCTTTTTTCCTTTAATCATTTCCCTTATTCCTCATTTCTCTCATTAATTCTTTCTTTTTTTTAATTTAATTTTATTTTTTCAAGCTAATGCGATAAATAGATGATGTATTGATGACTAGATATTTTTGTCATGTATCACGAGTTTACCCTACCCTTCCTTCTTCTTGTAATCCCTTCCTTTATTCCCCATTTCCCTTCGTAATCTTTCTCGTTTTTTTTTATTTTATTTTTTATGCTAAGATGTATTGATGACTAGATTTTTGTCATGTATCATGAGTTTATAAGATGTTTTGGTAGTACTAGTTATATAACTAATGATGTTAGTGCAAAAGGCTAAAGTACTTGATGAAATTAAGTTCAAGTACCTAATTGTGAATTTTTAATCTGCAACTATTAAATTGAAAAAAATTGTATAATACGGGAGCCAATTTTATATCTAACCTAAAAAAAAAATAGGATGGGTAAGCTTAAGCTTATATTTGGATTGGATTAAAGGAAGGACAAGAAAAGAAAATATTTAAAACTTTTTTTTATTTGAATTTCACATAAAATAAGATAAAGAAAAAGAATGGTGGTTAACCCTCTTTGTTTTCCCTCATTTTTAATTATCACAAATTGAGAAAACAAGGAAAGGAAAGTAAAAGAATAAAATTTTTAAAACATGAAATAACTATTATACCTAAAATAACTTTATTTTATTTACATTTCAAATAAAGTTTTTATTAATTTTCAAATCTAGTTATTAATTTTCAAACTAATACGTACGTCTTGTGCTAATATTGGCCCTTGTTTGGTTGTGCCATGCTAGTTCAATAATCCAAAATTCCTAGCCAAGCACAACACAATAATATGAGTTGTGCTTAACATGATTGTGACTATAATAATAGATCATGTCAAACATAGCTTAGATCATGCTATTTCACAATCTACCTAGCCCATTAGACACCTCTAATTATATGTCAAATACATGACAATGATTAATATTTAAAACCAAAATAGGCAATTATGTTCATAAGTAATCAAAATGTTACAAGTTGATAATAAGTGATTACAGAAGCTATTTACTTTTTCATTAACAAAAACTTTAATTATTTAAATCTCATTATTTTTATTAAAAATTAAATAAAATTAAAAGTAGCAACATGTAATATTAATTCATAATATAACAAATTTAACCAATTGCAAAAAGAAAAATCAGAAAATCCTACAATTATCTACTACATTTTTTTTCTTTTAAATTTATATGCTATATCAATTTTAATAATGAAAAAAATTAAAAGATTAAAATGTATTTTATTATGATATATTTTAAAAAAATAATATAATAAAAAAATGGTAAACTACTTTAATGATTTCTAAATTTTAAAGTATATATCGATTTGGTCACAAACTTTAAAAAGTGACATATTGATTCTTATATTTCTATCGTTGTAACGGAACGATCATTCCATTAGCTAAGCTATTAATGCATACATTAAATGTGTTAAATGCTAACTATAAATGAGATGATTTCTTTCATGTGCTCCTAAAAGACAAAAGATAAAACATAATATTACAAAGTAGGATCATGGATTGATTAAAATATAAGTTTTATGATTAAGAGATAAATTAATAATTATAAAGAAAGTAAAAGTTTGATAAAATTTATTTTCTTAATTTATTTTTAAAGATATTAATTCTTAATTTTTATGTATCTTTTTTGTTATTTTCATAATGCTAACTTTTAAATTAATTAATATCTTTGTATTTTTCAAGTTAAGATTTATTAAGTTACAATTAGATATGTCTATAAATTAAGCTCTTAGCTAAATCCATAAGTCGACTTGAATTAAGTCTTACATATGATTTTTAAGGCCTAAACTCGATCCAGTTCAAATTATTATTTTATTAATAAAATATTTTTTATTTAATTTATGTTGTTAAATATATTTAAAAATATTACAATATTAATATAAATTTTTTTTAATATTTTAAAGTTTTAAAGGCAAAATGGGCTATTTGAATTTGCAAGGGGTGTATTAAGTTGGACTTTAAGCAAAATTTTAGAAGCATCATTTAGATTTGTTTTACTTCGTGGACATCTCTAGCTGCAAATCAAATAATTAAATTTATCTTTTTATTGTTAAGAAGTGATAGTGTGAAAGTTATAATGTTTCATTAAAAAATTTATACTAATATTTCAAAACTTGATTTTTTTTTAAAAAATTGACTTTTAAGACAATTCACTTACATATTGTAAAATAAAGGGTAAATATATAATGAAATATTTTATGGTGATATATAGTGCACTTGTAAAATTGAATTTAATTACCAAATAAAAATTATTATTTACAAATTATATAAAATTTAGAAAATTAAAACTAAAGAAAAATAATTTATATTTTTATTATCTTCTTAAGTTATTCAGAGATTAATATTTTATGCTATATATATATTTATTCTAATCAAGTTAAGTATTAAAAAACAAACAATAATTATACTAAATTTAAAATTGGATTATAATCTTTTGAATTGTTGGAATTTTCATTCTATTCTTTCTATCCACTTATCCTTTTATCATCATTCTAACTTTTATGTTTATGTTGAAAATTATAACAAGTTTTAAACAAGCAAAATTTTTTTGTATATATTTTATTTTTATTAATCTTTATTCATGCTTTTATTATGTTGTTTTTTTAAATAATCTTTTTTAAAAAGTAACTTTCATTTTCAAAATATAAAATTTTTTAATCCTAAAACTGAATACAAAAAATATTTACTTAACAAAATTGGAAATAAAAATTAATTTTTTTATAATTAACAAAATTACTAATATTTTTTAATAAATACTTATTATCATAATTGTAATAAGTAAGAATTTTTATCATCATTACTCTTTATAATTTTATTTTTTACTTGAATGATAATTTCTCTGTCATTCATTTTAACGTTTGTATTAATAATTTAATTGATGAGATGATTGTTTTGTTACAATCATTAAAAAAAATAAAAATTAATATATCACTTTTTAAAATATAAATTCAAGTACTCGAAAAAATATCAAAAATTTAATTTAGAATTAAAATTTTTTTTATTTACATTAAAATTTTATCCTCGTAATATAATTAAAAAAAAAAAAAAGTCAGTAACGATACACACTTCAAAATTTATGAATCATGAAAGTAATTTATTCAAATAAAAAACATAAAACACTATTCCAAAAAATTTAATGTATTGTGGTCGTCTTTTTTTTCTCAACCCTAGTTATCAGTTTCTGTTCATGAACCTCGCTACCCCAGCAATAACAGATAAGAATTGGGTTAGTAGGGCGCACGTTCTTCAGTTTCCCTTCTAAAACAGTAACACACATCCTGCTTACATTTCAAACCCCCCAAATTATACCCAGTTAGCCATTTCTTTCATAGTCTTTTGGAATCAAACTGAATCTCATTTCTCAATCTCCAGTTTTTGCATCCGCAATGCGTCAAAACAACGGCGTTTCCTTCACCTCCTCTTCTCTCAAAATTCCTCTCCCTTCTTCCAACCCTTCTCTCTCACAAACCCTAGCCTCTCAGCTCGCCAGAACTCGTCACTCGGCCTTCCAACTCATTGACTCGTTCAGGAGTCGTTTCAATTATGTAAAAGGTCCCCCGACTCGATCGACTGAGTCAACCTTGTCAGAGTTCGGAATTCACTCGCTTATCAGAAGCTGTCCCCTACTGTGCTCTACATCGCTGTCTCAGACAACTCAAAACCACAACATTGCTAAATCGCCTCTGCTATGTGCGGCCTCGTTGTCGCTGAGTCCAATGGGTTCAACCGAGTCAACTCAGGCCGGGTTGGAGGTTCCGCAGAAGGGACAGTCCACAACGGCAAGTCGTTACGACGAGGAGAGGGTCCTGATAAGTGAGGTTCTGGTGAGGAACAAAGATGGGGAGGAGTTGGAGCGGAAAGACCTCGAAATGGAAGCACTTACCGCGTTGAAAGCTTGCCGAGCCAACTCAGCATTGACGGTCCGGGAGGTACAGGAAGACGTGCACCGGATCATTGATAGCGGCTACTTCTCCTCGTGCATGCCTGTGGCTGTCGACACGCGGGACGGTATCAGATTGGTGTTTCAAGTATGTTACCTAAAGCTAATTCATTTTAATTAGAGTGTTTTAATGTTTCTATTTTTTTCTCGCTAAGTTAGATGATTGTATGGGTTTTGGGACTTTTGTTTGTATATAATGCTACTTGTTTGGAATAATCTTAGAATGTTAAATTGAGACTCGGCGGATTAATTGAGCATTGGAAACACAATTTGGTCTCAACGCCATGGAACTCCATTATTTACTTTTAAATCATCGAAATTGTTTGTAAAGTGTTTCTAGTTTTAATTTATTCGTGGTTGGTGACCTTGACAACAAAATGAAATTGACTCTTTTCTTTTTTGGGTTTATTTAGCCAGCACTATTGCTCCTTTGTGATCAATTATTCTTGAGTCAAAGAGGGGAAATTGTGAAAAGGGAGGGTTTGAAAGAGTGAAGGATGATTTTGGAAAATTGAAAGTATGAAAGAATATATAAAAAAGAACTTGATTTTTTTGTGCTGGCATTTGTGTTGTGGTGGTGGATAGGATTGAAATGTTACTTATTGTGGTGTTTAAGACTCACAATTAGATTCCTATCGTAGAAAATGTTTTCTTTTCATGGACAATTTTCCATGGTCCAAATGTAGCTTGATTTTCTGCTTCATGCATTTTGGCTGTATGCAACCATTGTTGTCAACGATGCGAGGCCACTCTAGATGCTAGGACCCCTATATTGCCCAAGATGCAAAAAAGGTGCTCGCCCATGTGAAGTAAGGTGCATATATATATAAGAAAATTTGTTTATCATACATAATAAGCTAGACGTTAATATAGTTTATTTAATACACTCAAAAGATTGCTCAGTTTTTTTCTTTCATAAGAGAGCACTTATCCTTTGTTTCTAAAATGAAAAACAGAGGTCTACACCCCTGTTACAACACTAAAAAGAGAGAAAAGAGAGAAGGAAGGTCCCCAAATGAAAAAGAAAGAAAAGAATGTTGAGTGTCAGAAAAGAAGAAAAGAGTAGGAAGCTTGTAAATAATAACATATATAACATAAAAGACAACATACCTTTTCAAAATAGGTAGCCAATGTTTGAACTCGAAACACTGAGAGTTGAAAGTGGTCCCAATTCTCTCTTAATATATTGAATGTCAAACACTGCAGCAGTTTTTGCTGAAATTTTTTCATAACCTTAATTAAATTTTGGTGTCTGTGGCTAAAGTTTTTAAGAAAACACTTTGGATAGACTGTATTACCCTTTTTTATTTATGGAGATTAAATGTGAGTCATTTTTTTGACTTCTAAAATAAAAAATAAAAAATTAGAAAATCAAGAGACAATTTACCGGGCATACCTTTTTAGTGCCTCTTGATTTAGCAAAAAGCGTGCTTAGGTGCTAAAAGCCTGCACCTCATCCAAGGGGCCTTGCCAGAAGCGTGAAGGGGCTCTTAAGGGGTTTTTGCTGCCTAGGTACTCCTAGGCACACACCTTGACAACACTGTATGCCTCTTGTGTTCCATTATTATTTATTATAAAACTTTTATTATTCTTTCTGAAGAATTTGATGTCTCCATACACATTTAGAAATTATATGCATATATTCATATATCTCTACATATAATATATGTATGTAATGTACATTTATCTATAGACATTTCAGATTGCAGCCATACTTGAGTACATTTGTCATTGTTGGGGTTATCATGGGTGTAATAGCACTAGTTGTGGTGTTGCAGGTGTTGGGGTTCACTTGTCAATTGCACGTTGAATAGAAAGCTAGAACGTGAAATATATAGAACTATTTTTAAAATTAAATAAAGTAAAAATATTTTAACTAAAATATGCAATCCACAACTCTAGAGTTTTTTCAGTCCCTCCGGAACCAATCATTCTCTTTGATAAATGTTACATATAATTCCAGACACTCTCCAATTAACCTTTTTTTTCCTCCTAAAATTTCACTTATCCTTCCCACGTACTTTATTTTACACCCCCACATCTCTGTCTGCCCCTGGTCTTGACGTTTTTCTTTCATTTATGTTTTATTATACGTGTATGTGTGTGTGTGTGTGTGTGTGTGTGTGTGTGTACTGAAAGAGCAAATAATGTGCCAAATCCTAATAAGAGATACTCTCACCTCTCTACCCACTTAGTCTTGTCATTGGCATTTGTCTCTAATGTCAGTTCCCATTCAATCAGCCTTATCTATAGTTCTCTTTCTTAAATTCTGTCAAAACCGCAGAAACTTCCTTATCTTCTTCCTTCAACAAGCACCTTAGCATATCATTTTCCTGCCTGCCTTAATCTGTGTCATGCAATCTCCACTTCCATCAAAGAAATAGGTGGCAGTGGAAGCACAAAAGGTCACTAGTACACTACCTCATATCTATATAGCAAGTATGTGGAGCTGTTGAGAAGAATTTTCTCTTGAAGTTGGAAAAAGGAAAATAACTCGTAATGGGAAATGTGAAACATCTGTCAGGTGCCCAGGCCACTTTGACTTTGAAAGACTGTTACTATGTTTCTTGTGGCTGTTACATGCCACTAAGTGTGGTTAAAATTGTCAGGGCAATAGCAGCCTCTTGTAGACATGAAGGCTGCTGCTACCACAAAACAGTGGCTTTTATTTCAACATACATGCATGCACACGTCTTTGTATGGGGTGGTGATCTCTATGGCTCTAGTTTATTCATTTCTGTTAAAAGAATTCAGGGGGATTGATGGTCGCTTTGTGCCCCCTTCTGCCTCTGCCTTTGTTGGCATCTGTTTCAAGAAAAGCAGAGCACAAGGTTACTTCATAGAGTGTTGGTAAGAAAACTTCATAGAATGAGGTACCCGTATGAAGTGAGCGAAAGTAATAATGCTGGTTTTGGCTGGTCTTTCACATGTCATAATTTCTTTTCATTGTTAGTTGAACATGTTGGTTTCAGTTTTGGGCGTTATAAGCCTATATCTTAGGCATATATAGAAACATAATGCTGATTCGCTTGAAATTGGGTTCTTGTGGCATAAGGTAGAACCAAATCAGGAGTTCCATGGATTGGTCTGTGAAGGAGCCAATGTTCTCCCATCAAAGTTTCTTGAGAATGCTTTTCGCGATGGACATGGTAAGTTTTTCTGTTGCTTTCTAAGTATGGATGTACATAAATTTTAGATTATTTGCTTGATGAGCTGCTTTTTAATTTTGGTCATAGGAGGCTTTCATTATTTTCACTTTCGGTGTCAAGCTGTGCAGGAAAAGTGATAAATCTTAAGCGTTTAGATGAAGTAATTAATTCAATCAATGGATGGTATATGGAGCGTGGTCTTTTTGGCTTGGTTAGTTCTTTGCCTTACATGTTTTTTAGTTCGTAGATGCAAATGTTCTCTTCATTGATCTTTGAATACAATCATGTTGCATAAACTGTTCTTTACCTTATAGGTTTCTGGAGTTGATATTTTTTCTGGAGGTATTATAAGGTTACAAGTTGCAGAAGCAGAGGTCAATAATATATCCATACGTTTCCTTGACCGAAAGACGTAAGAACCTCCCTTCAGTTTGCTTTACCCACACTTGGGTGTGCATTTACTTAAATAGGCGCACTTACAAACATTTATATCAAACATTTGAATTTATTAGGGTTAGCATATATGACCAGAAATGTTTCGTTAATATCTCAGTGGTGAACCGACTAAAGGGAAGACAAAGTCTGAAACAATACTTAGGCAACTCACAACCAAGAAGGGACAGGTGTGACCCTAGATCTAGCTCTGTACATAAATAGGCATGTAATTTATGATAAGTCATAAAGAATTGTCTACTCTAATCCAAGAAGCATGCCCCTGGAAAGCACAATTTGTCCTGAGTAGCGTGGGTTGCTTTATTTGAATTATCTTCCTATAGGTGTATAGTATGCTTCAAGGAAAAAGAGATGTGGATACAGTGTCAACTATGGGTATCATGGCAGATGTCAGTATCATTCCTCAACCAGCTGGAGGTGAGCGAATATATCTTTTAAAGACGCGTGCACTAAATTGCATATTGTGTTCTGAGGTATGCATAGCTGGTTGACAAAATGTTTAAGCTAATTCATGAAAATGTATTTGATGTGCAATCTTCTTCTGAATTTTTAGTCAATTGTTTCATGCTGAGGACCTTACCTGATTTAAGGCTGAATTGTCAGATGCATGATAATGCATTAACAAGAATGTCTACTGAATTTTATTCTGGATAAATATTTTGGACTAACATTAATTGTAGTAATGTCATAGTAATTATCATGTGATAACAAGAATGTTTACTGAATTTTATTCAGGATTATTCTTATGGACTAACATATCTGTAATGATGTTATGGTAAATTATTAGAAAATTAAATTTTATATGTTGTGTGTTCATTCCCATTGAAATTGATGGAAAGCTTTCTTAGTTACTTGAAAATAGACATGAGAACACATTGACATGGAATTTCCTTCAGTGTAAGCTTTAGAAGTTGGCTTACCATATTCATTTGTCTGAAAATAGTTCTGATTGGTTCAAAGGTTTCTTGTATGTCATTGAATATATATCTATTAGCCTAAGAAATTTCCAAAGTCTTCAAGAATGCAATTAGTGTTGAATATTGTCGTTGGTTGGTGGATGGTTACCCCAATAAGGAGTTAAAGATATATAAAAAATTGGAAGACAAAATTTTCAATGGTGTGACGGTAAGAATTTTCTTTTTCCTTTTTTCTTTTCAGTTGGCATAAATACTGATTTTAGTGGTGTTCTCCAGGAGTTATTTGACATCCAGCTTTTAGGAGATAGCAGTATTTCCTTTAATTTTTCTTTTGTGCTCTGTATGATTCTTAGGTACTAAGTCTGTGCATATGAAAAATTCACCAAACATTTGTTGAAATAAGTGGAATACATTTGAATTAGTTTGCTTTTACAGGATTTGACATTTATTGATTCATAAGGCGTCACATGATATGCTACTTTTTCTTTGTAACTGTTTGCAAGTAAAGGTGTTTTTACGTTAATATTTTGAGAGCTTTTCTATGTCTTTATTTGTCTATTATTGTTTTGATTATCAAAATTTGTAGATGCTGGTAAGGTTGATTTGATAATGAATGTTGTTGAACGTCCAAGTGGTGGTTTTTCTGCTGGTGGTGGAATATCAAGTGGGTAAGTTCTTGCAATACTACCCATACCATCTCCTCACCTAATTTAGTTACCAAACTTCATCTTATTTATCTGAAAGAATATTTATGTAAGTCATTTTTAATTTTGTAGGATTACAAGTGGCCCTTTATCAGGACTTATTGGAAGGTAACATTGCATATTGCTTTTCTGGCTGGTTCAGTTTTTCCATTCATCTTTCTCCATCCAGGGTTCATTGTGATTTGTGCATATGAATGATAAGTTTCATATAAGTGAACTTCTTTTCATGTTTTTTGGGAGCAAATTCAATTTTTGAATTGGAAGTTATTCACATTGGTTAATTTATTCTGTTACTTGTATCAGAAGTGTGCATTTTTTTTTTGTATGTTATTACTTCTTCATGATGCAATCAGGATTATTTTCTGGAACAAATTTGAGTGAAAAAGTCAACCAACAGTTAGGTTTTTTGTTCCATGGTACACTATCATTTTGAGAATTAAATTGGCTTTGCATTGGTTGTCAGAGTCCGTATTCAATTCCATTGTTGCCAATCTTGTGGACTGTGGTTTCTTATTTCTTAGTGATTCTCATCAAGTGATAATGCACATAGTAATTGATACAATTGAAATTACTTTCTCAGGATTGCATGTTCCATAACCTTGGTATGCTGGTACTTAAGGAGAGACACATATTTGTAATGATGGATTTTATTGGATGCTTTTTCTTTCTTTTTCATTTTTCTCATTTTGGCTTTTTATTCTATTCCTGTTTTTGGGAGCAAACTTTCTTATATGCTACTGCATATATATGGTTTTTTTATGTCACTATGAGCCTTCAGCTTTAATCAATTCCTGTACTATTGTTATTGAGACCAAAAAGGAGAGAAATTTGGTGTCTGCTATATTTATGTGATGAAATGTGATGCTGTTTACCTTGTCTCATACTCTGTTATTTCTTATGTGCAGCTTTGCATATTCTCATAGAAATTTGTTTGGAAGAAACCAAAAGCTTAATATTTCCTTAGAGAGGGGGCAAATTGACTCTATATTCCGCATTAACTACACAGACCCATGGATTGAGGGAGATGACAAGCGGACATCTAGAACAATAATTGTCCAGGTGGGTTCTGCTTTTACTTTTTGGATGATTGGAAGATTGATTATTATCTGAGCTGTTTTGTTTGTTTTAGAATTCAAGAACCCCTGGGACACTTGTGCATGGTAACCAACATGACAATAGCAGTCTAAGCATTGGCCGTGTTACAGCTGGTGTAGAGTTTAGTCGACCAATCAGGCCAAAATGGAGTGGAACGGCTGGGCTTATTTTTCAGGTACAGATGTTACTTCATTCCATAGCTTTTTTTTTTTTTTTTTTTGTCGGCTAGGCATCTGTTCTAAGTTTTCTTCAAAGGAAAGTTCGTGAAATGTAGTACCTTAAAAGTTAGTTTTCATTTTGAATCTGAATCTGAACTTTATTTTTTTTGGGATTAATGCTTATGTCTCAGTTGTATGATTTTTTTTAATACTGTAATATTCAGCATGCTGGTGCTCGTGATGAAAAAGGAAATCCAATTATCAAAGACTTCTATGGCAGCCCACTTACTGCAAGGTATGTATCTCTAATGCCTGGTGTTTTATAGCTTCTGTAAGATTGATTTATCTGCATTAATTTGCTGTTGTCATACTTTTATGGCTTAATTTCCTTGCACTTTTTTTTAATTAATCTCTTAATGTAGTGGTAAGCCTTATGATGATATGTTACTGGCTAAATTTGAAAGTGTCTATACTGGTTCTGGTGATCAAGGTTCCTCCATGGTTAGCAACTATTCACTGTGGTTTTCCATCACTTATTTTATGGATAGGCCTCATTTCTGTTACCTTTGCAGTTTGCATTTAACATGGAACAAGGACTTCCTGTCATGCCTGAGTGGCTGTTTTTCAACAGAGTGAATGCTCGTGCAAGAAAAGGTGTTGAAATTGGTCCTACTCGCCTTCTTTTAAGGTATTATGCTTATTATGTACTCTTTTGAAGACTAGGAACAATCTATGGTAATTCATATGGTGTATACTTGGGAGGATAATCATTAATTGAAAACTCTACTTCTCTTAATTTGTTTTCTGTACTCCAAAAGCTTTTCCACAGTTGCTTGGTTTGAACCTGAGTTTCAATATTTCTCCCCAAGATGAAGAGAGAAAGGAGGAGAGAGTTTTGGTATAGTTTGCTGACTTGTTTTGTTTTGTATTGGTAGTTTGTCTGGTGGGCATGTGGTGGGCAATTTTTCTCCTCATGAAGCATTTGCTATTGGTGGAACAAACAGTGTCAGAGGTTATGAAGAAGGTGCTGTAGGCTCCGGTCGATCTTATGTAGTTGGCTCTAGTGAAGTTTCTTTCCCACTGGTAGGTGTTTATAAAGTTCTGCCTCTTTTGTTTTTGCATGAGTATCTTGTGCTTGCCGTAAGGTATGGGTGTTGTATTCCTTTCTTTTGCCTTTGTTTAGGACCATTCACCTTTATTACTACATGATTTTGAGCTTTATTATAGATTTGTGATTATTAACTGTCTGGTGTAAAGCTAGATAGACATTAGGAATTCCTAAACATCAATAAAGATTCTGTATGCAGAGAAGTTTAGAAAGAGATAAGGCCAAAATAGGCAACTACCAAGTCTTGTAGTCATATTGGTACTTCAAACTTGAGAAGTTAACTCACCACGGAAAATATATAAATGTGAGTCTGATAAAATCGGTCTGAATATAAAACTATTTCCCAAATGCATTCACTTTCAAACTTATTTACCAAACTGATGTGCTTTTGAAAACGTGAGTCAGACATGTTTTCTTGTATTATACTTACCTTTTATCAACTACTTAATACTTTATCTAAAAACCACATTGTAAAACACAATATCAATGAAAACTTGTTTTACACAATTTCAATTAAAACATTCTTTAAAAATTGTTATAACATTGGGAGTGAAAGATCAAGTGATGATGGTTGAAGTTTTTATCCTAAGCTGAAGCCAACTGATGCCAGTGTTGGTTCTACATTTTAAAGTGCTTATTCTATGTGCAGTGCTACTTATATAATTAAGCTAATTAAAATACTCAAAAGTATATCATGTAAGACTTATCTATAAGGCTGAGGTGTGGCAGAAACATTGACTTTTTGCCCTTCCTAGGTAATATCTCTGATGCAAACAGGCTTACCATGGTGTTCTGTTTTTGGATTCAACAGCTAGTGGTTTCTGTGACTTTGTATGTGAACTACAAAGATTAAGCAAACTGTGCAAATTTTACCAGTTAAATATTGTGACTAAGTTATATTACAATATACTAAATGAGAAGAGTATTATGTAAACTTCAAACAATAGGAAAGTATTTTAAGTGGCCGTGATTAGAAAAACAAGTGTGAAATTTAGTAGAAACCAATTTGGAGGGTAAGAGCAATTTCAATTGAACACACAAGCCTATATTTATATGCAATTCTAATGAGATTAGTTAGCACTAAGCTGCCAAATTATTTAACGCGTTTGCAAAGTTTCTTGACATGTCAATCAAATGACAAAAGGTGGTTTTTGTAGCAAAATATAGATGCTAGCTGTTTTGGCATATAGCTTTCCATGTGTCGAAAACTTATTTTACTTATTAATTAATTTTAGTTATTTTAAAACTCGACCTATGTGAGTGGAGATCCTGGGATCTTGGTTCAAAGGGAAAAGAAGTCATTGAATAGTTTGAAGCATTGTTATAATTCTATTATGGTGAAAGTAGTACATATTGTAGTAGTTGTGAGGTTGAGTTTGTACTCTTAATGAGTTTCATAGCCGTTCTTGGTGGTGCAATTGTGTACTCAACTTATGAAACTCACCTAATATTTGTGTGAAGGCGGGGCCACCTTCTATGAGAAACTAGGGCTATGTCTCTAGAGCACTTGTCAAGTTCATGTGCAAAGTTGCTAGTGAATCCCTAGAAACTGGAAACCATTTTTGGTCTGCTTGCACCCAGGATAGTGTTTAAGAGGGGTCGAAACTGGCTTTAATAACAGTGGTCCTGCCTACTTCTCAACCTTAAAGATAAGCTTTTTACTACATATCTTAATTTTTTTATTTAGCTTAGTGATATAGTAACACTTGGCACACCAACAATCAGGATTTATGGATGGCTAATGACATATTCTATGCTATATTTCTAAATTTCAAGGCCAACCATAGGAAATTTTATATATATATATATTGACAGTGTTGGATATCATATTTGAGTTTAATGAATATTAAAGGAGAAAATTTTCACTGAGAGTGTTACTTCTCCAAATTGATTTAGAGATGATATCGGTATTCTAGCACCAAGATAATATGCTAAAGACACAAAAATATGCAGATCTTAATTCCAGGATCTTCCTTTTGTAGTACTGGATGCATATCCCCATCATATGTAACCCATTGTCTATTGAGTTTAATTAATCCCACCTTTCATTGGTAAAGAATATGACTTGCAGTATGACTTGATGGAGGAAAAGGGCATTAGATGCGAAGGTTAATTCTGAACTTATATTGGTGAAGATAACTGCATTGGTGTGATGTTATTCTCCTATTCGGGGGCTCATATGGTTTGGATAAGGTTATAGAGAGAGAAGAATCTAGCTCTAGGTGGATGAGAATTAAAGTACAAGTTTATCCTTGATGCTTGTGAGAATTCTACCAACTTTTTTTGCTGTTTCGCAGCTGGGACCTCTGGGAGGAGTTATTTTTGCTGATTATGGACATGATCTATGGTCAGGCCCCAACGTGCCTGGTAAATTTTTTCTGGTTAATCTGTCTGATCTCTGATACATTTTTTTTTTATTATTATTCTGTTTTGGTATAAAAAGAGATAAAGTTTGAGGGGGAAAGGGTGGGGTTGCGTATGATCAGATATTCAAGATTGGATATATGTTGAACATCCTAAGGCTCCAATTGTTATGCGAAAAATGATTTTCACATTTTTAGGTATTTATTTAACTGAAAATTATTTAATCAATGAAAAATAATTTACTGATTAACAGAAAGTAAGATTTTTTTAAAATTATCTTACAGATTTAAAAAAGAGAAAATATTTTCTGAAAAAGAACTGTTTGAGTAGAATTATTTATCAAATGCTTTTGAGCATAATAAATAATATTATATTAATAAATAATATATTAATAAATATTATTATATTAATTAATACATATTATAATAATATATTAGTAAATAATATAAATAGTTTTATTTTAAGTATTTTTATATTAATATAATATTTTAATATTAAATATTATTATTAAAGTATAATTATTTTTAAATATGAATAATTTTAATAATAAATAATTTCAATATACTTTAATAATAAATATTTTTTAATATTTAATAGTTATATTAATATTATTTGAAAAAAAATAGATTTTCCAAAAGAATAATTAAATAATAAAAAATATTTTTCATCAACTAATCCAAACAATAGAAAATCTATTTCAATTAAAAAAGTATAAACATTTTCAAAAAATTTTTTTTTGAAAGTCATTTTTTTGTGAAACATACGTATCTTAATATTCAAACAGCTAGAGAAAGAAATTGGGCAGGTGGGTCAGGTTTGAGTCAGGTCACTTCAGGTTCAGGCAGGTTTTTCGTATTTGGGTCAGCTTTGTTAGCTTCAGAACCAGCTGAATGCTTGTGAAATTCATGCCCTTTTAATATTCCTTTTCTATTAATTGTTTTGTTTTGCTTTTCAGGTGATCCTGCCGGGGCAAGGTATAAGCCTGGAAGTGGATATGGGTATGGCTTTGGTATCCGAGTGGACTCACCTTTAGGACCTTTGCGTCTTGAATATGCCTTTAATGACAGGCAGGCAAAGAGGTTTCACTTCGGGGTTGGCCACCGAAGCTAAGATGAGGTTTCACACTTTGGGTGTCCAAAGAAAACTGTGAAACTTTCGGCATCATATTATTCTTGGATGCTACTCGCGCAACACAAATTCACAAAAAATTTTGAATCTATTTTGTAAATTCATGCCATGGCTAGAGAGATAGGCTTGTTTTGATGATAATTGTCTATGTTATTGCTAGAGAAAGAACATGGATGTCCTGATAAATTTTTATTGATGCATAATTTTGAAGTGCGTCTAGCTCAAACAAACCTCCATTCAAACTCTTATTTGTGGCAGTGTTGCATTTCTTTCCTTGAACATCTATGCATGCCCTCCACGCAAAATAATCGTGATTCAGTTTATTCATATTCAATGGATTTACTGAGATAAAGTTTCCTGGATTATTTGAGTTGCTTGTGATCAGAGTGGAAATGAAGAATACACAAATTCCATCCGTTGCATCATTTATCATGGAAAAAAGGCAGGGAAGAATAAAACAAATACATCTGTTGCATCTTATTATTGAATCTTGTTCCGGCCCGAAATTTCTTTTTAAACTCGGTGTATTAGACAAAGCCCACTTCTGGCTTTCTTTTTTCGGCTTTATTTTCATCTTTCTTTTCTTCAGTTTCTCTTCTTTACTTTTTTGTGTAAAGTTATTTTCTCAAAAGGAGAGACACAAATGGGAAAAACAAGTTACAAAAGGCTACGTATGTAGGGTGCATTATCAAGAACTATATGAGGGTCTACCGTGTATAAAAGTAGATTTGACATAATATTGTGGTAGATCTTATATAATTTTAAAATTTGATTAGTTAATTGTAATCCAATTATCGTAAGTTATATACTTTCAAGTATGCAGCATGTCAACAACTAAGGTACCTCAAATTTTGGATGCTTATTTTCGAATTCAATTATTTATCAAGATATTTAAATTGGATAAATATTAAATATTTATATTTTTTTATTCGAATTTTACTCATGTAATATAAAAATGCTCATTAATTATTCAAATTCGCTAAATATTAATTTATTAAGTCAAAATTTGACTTTTAGTTTGAAATTTAAAATTAATTTTAATGCATATTACTAAAAAAAATTAGATTAATAAAAAAAAGTCAACTCAAAAAATAAATTAAAGTTTAAAATTATAATTAGAAATCTAATGAATTAATTAAGTATTACATTAACAATAAATAATTTACAAACAAAAAATATATAATATTAAAAAATATTATTTATAATCGGGTTTAGATAATGAGTATCTTAAAAACAATACTGGAACCCTACTTGAACTCGTGATGGTAATAATTTAACCCTACGTGAAATTGTGATGGTAATAATTTTACTATTTCAATCTTATGCGAATTCGATTATAAAATACTACTTTCGGGTTGAGTAATGCAGACTATCTATTTGTAGGGCATTCATTGCCATCCCATCATTTAAAGGTGGTCTTTTTCAAAATTTATAAAGTATTTTTATTCAAATTAATTTTAAACTTATGCAATGCAAAAGTGATGATTATATATAAAAATTTAATTATAATATAATTAATAATTTTATATAAAATAAAAAATTTTAAATATAAATACAAATAATCGTTTTTGTTTCAAATGAAATAACTACTCTTGATGCGATTTTTTTCTTTTCAAAATATATAACCTATCTAAAATACATAAATTCATCTGAAATTTTACATAAAATATAATTATTTAAAATGTTTTACAAATTTTGAAATATAGATAGTATTAGAAAAAAAAAATCTAGTAAATGGTGGACATTAGAAAATTAAGTCAATTAATATAAGTTAATAAAATATATTATACAACTATTTAGTGAAAAAAGTTAACAACCTGATTTGAAATGAATAAAGAAAACAAATACAAAATGCAAAATCGTAATAAAAACTTATGATTGATCATGCAAAAATTGTGATGAAAACTGTACTTTGAGTTGATTCAAGAACAAAACATTTATAATCTAAGTATGGACAAAATGATAAAAAAAATTAATCGGTCACATTTAATGAGATATGATTGGAAAGGGAAAAAGTTTTTGAATTTTGACAGTAAATTTTGTACAATTGTATGGATTAAAAGATAAAAATTAGAACTATGAAATTATCAATATTAAAAAGAAATAAGGATAAAGAGGTTTAGTTATGTTGGATTGTAAAATTATGTGTACCAATTCGAATTGAAAAAAAAAAGTGTGAATCAATATTCTTGTGTTTCCCTCTTTTGCATCTCTAGTTACATGTTCCAATTTTAGAAAAATGATAACAATGATAATATAATATAATTGCACAACATAAAAATAATTATTATTTATAATAAAAATCAATTAAAAATTGAGAAAATTAAGCAAAAGCACCCATTACAGTATACAAATACTATTAACAAATTGATAAAATGGGATAAAATTTACTTAAAATATCACAATAAAAGTACTTTTTAATTAGTTACAATATTATTTATATTTTGGTTTTTGTAATAAATAATTAAAAAAAATATCTTTTGTATCTTGATTTTGTAATAAAGAATAGAAATATCTAAAACTTATTTATATCATCCAAACATGTGCAAAAAAAAATATAATATCAACTAAAATGAAAATCTTATATGAAATTTAATAGCACAAAAAATCAATTAATTATTGATCCAAGTTAGTAGGATAACCCTCAAAATAAAATGCTACAAATCAATTGCAGCTACAAAAAAGAAAAAACTCCAATGTAAAAAAACAAATAACAACTCATTTATAATAACAAAAATTAAAAAAATTAATAAACATAAAAATTATTTTTAAAAAATCAATCAAACATTTTTTAAATGATGCCCTAAGTTTGAAAAATATGCTACATTGATGGCATCTTTGATAATTCTTATGTAATTGTTTAGCTTGTTTTTGATATCCTCCTCAATTCACTTCAAAATTTTGTGCAAAATAAATCCTCATCTGACACCATGTTAGAGAAGAATCATATAATTAGAAAGACGCATAGAAAAAATCAAATCCAACCATCAAGAATAAGTGCACTCCTTCATAAAGACAAATAATTAATTCTTTGGACCTCTATAATGGCTTGCAATTTCTTAACGTAATCTATCTACATGCTTTAGGTAAAACTACTTGCATACAAAATTAAATTGCTATAAATTTTTACGCGAAGAACATATTGTATTTCATAATATAAAAGGTAATACATTAATCGAATTGCTAAAACTATCCAAAAAAATCAGGCATATAAAATATTGCACCAATGTCATATATCTACATATGAAACAAAATATATGTGCAAAGATGATAAGTATAAGATTATTTGAATATGCAAATGAATACGATAAAAAATGGTTGTAAAAATTTTTTTATAAAAACTCAAACTTAAAAGTTTCTTTGATCTCCAAATCAATATCTCATTTATAATTGTGGTTGGTCGACAAATTAATTATAGAAATGCTAAAATTTCTTAAGTTTAAATATAGAAAATTGAATGAGAAAATTACTTATGGAAGACAATAATAATATATTATAGAGAATAATCTCATTACATGACTTGTATAATTATGTTGATATAAAATGAAGTATGATTGCAAACATTTTAAAATTTATATTAAAGCTTTTTAGCAAATATGAAAAGAAAATATTATTATTTAATATAATTTAAATTTAAATTTTAATCACAAAGGTTATAAAAGATCACATAAATATAAACAAATAAGTAATTAAATTGAAAATTTAAAAAGAAAGAAATATAATTAATTATTTGAAATATTTTTAATTTTAATCAAATCAAATAAAAAAAATTAAATGTAGAACAGATGTCGATTTTCAAAGATCATATACATTTCAATAATATAACCAATCTACATTAAATAATTTTTTTAAAAAAATTTTAATTTTTATATATTTATATAAGATAAGGGCAAAATTGATCTAAATAAATACTAAAGGGCTTAGATTAAAAAAAAACCAATTAATTATAAAAACTTTACATTTCAACCTGAAGTACCTTATTTTGCGGATATTGATATTCCGAAGGAAGAAGCAGACAAGTGTGAGTTTGTGCTTCTTTTACTTTTTCTCTGTAAAAGTGTAAACAAATTATTTTTTATTATGTTTAAGAAGATGGTTGTGATTTTTTTTCTTAACAAATACGTTATTTGTCAATAAATTATTAAAATTTTAATTTTCGTAACTAAAACTTAATTTTTGAGATTTTTAAATATAAAAAAAGAATTTGAATTTCTTAAAAAAATAAATTTGAGTGTGAATTTGAATTAAGTTTGTTTTTACGCATTGCACCTAAGTTTTTAAAATTTACAAGCTAGAAGGGAACTAAAAAAAAATTGATAATTGAACTTTTTATTACAAAAAATTATCTCATGTATCACTAACGAAAATTTTAAAATTCCACAATCCAAATTAAAAAAATAATACATATATATATTTAGGGTATATTAAAAAAAATTATTTTGTTTATAATGAAAACTAGCTTATAACTCATGCAATGCATAGATTAATTTTATATATTAACTAAAATATTTTAAATTTGTGAATTTATTAATTAAAATATATTATTACAAATAAACTAAAATTATTATATTAAAATACTTACCAACAGATAAATATCAATCAACAATAAAAATTTTTATGTTGCTTATAAATAAGAAAATACTTTAGACTCACTACAGGGGTTTGATTTTTATGGTATTTTTTTTAATGTTTAGTAGCGTTTATAAACGCAACTAAAAGATTTATAACATTTGCGAAAAATGCTAGTCAAATTGCCGGCTATATAGGCGTTGCGAAAATAGCGATCATTTTCGAAAAAATACCTCAATATTAGCGTCGTTTATATCTGAAACGCCATCATTTTAGCGACGTTTCTATCTTTGAAATGCTGCTAAATTAATGGTGTTTTTATGAGAAAAATACCGTTGCTTTGATGGCGTTTGTAACTGTAACCTTTGATGGTGTTTGTAACTGTAAATGCCACTATTTTAGAGGCATTTGTATATGAAAATGTCTTTATATTAGCGGTGTTTGTATCTTTGAGACATGACTAATTTAGTCATGATTTTATGAGAAAAACACAGTTACTTTGGTGGCGTTTGTATAAAAAAAAATGTCACTTAACTAGCGGCGTTTGTTGGTAAGAGCGTCATTATTTTTAATCGCGTTTTATGATACAAACACTATTAAATTATTTATTTAGAGACATTCTTGAACACAAACACCACCATTATGTAAAAATGTATTTTTT